CACCTTAGGTGTGCTAGATTAGAGATGATCCTGAAATTGGCTTGAAAAACCTCTCTCAGGTTCATTGGAGAAGCCCTAAAATGAAAAAAATGTTTTGCCCTTAAACAAGGGAGGAGGGAATGGATCACAGAGAGTTGAAGGGACTTTCCGAACACAAAAAACGTGCAGAGGGAAAGCAAGTCTAGGACCCCAAAATTTCCCAGCATCCCACCAGTACTGTAATGATGGCAGGCCAGCATCTTCCCTTAGCCCAACACGCAGATGCAAAGTATTTTGGAACCTCAGTAAAGAGAGTGGAAACATGAAATGATGTGTTTCTGGAGTGGCTTGGTGCTTAAAAGGTCTATTCAAAGATGTGAAAGATGGTACCTGCTCCTTCTTGACCTGCTGTGGGATGCCATTCTGAGAGTGGGCATGTCAGAGGGCCTCCTGAGGCTTTCACTGCCAGCTACAAAATCAGGAGCATCCTTATTCTCTTCATAGGATGAATTGTTTGGTTTTGTGGGAAGCTGAGACCCCAGGGATGTGCACAGTGCTCAGGAGTCAGCTTGGATGCTGTTAGCTCAGTGCTGGTCTCTCCCAACTCCCACATCTCAAAACAAAACCACGAGCCCCGTCCCCCACCCCCTTCCCAGTTTTCCATACTGGACCCCCTTCCTGTTGACTTTATTGCAGTTCATTGTTATCCCTAACTGGGGAGTTCTGATTTAATGGTGCATTGGACAGATTTCGCTCGACACTGTTCCCTTTTCCTTCTGTCCTATTTCCGTAGAATAATGTAATATTATCTTTGGCAAGTCTCTTTTTGTTTAAAAGTGAACCCAAATGGAGGAATCAGATTGATTGCTGGCTCCATGTGCTCTTCTGTTCACTGGAACGTCTTCCCATTGTAATAACATCAAATGTAAAGACTGAGGAACTTGACCCGGCAGGTGCCAACTCTTGGGAATACGAATGTTCAGCTGTAGGAAATATCGCTGTTGCAGCGGCACTGTGGAAGCAATTAGGTAGAGGATAATGGATGGTCTGCAGTGAGATAGGAGGGAATGACTCCACGGAGGTGCTTCGTGGTGAGATCATAAACCACAAGAGCAGAGCGTAGATGGGCTGGTGATGTCAGCCGAAACCTGTGGTGGAATTTGTCTCCTCGTAGAGGACTTCTCTCTGGCTCTTGTTGTTGTTGTTGTTGCTGCTGCTTTTAACGGTTCCCAAAGTAGGAGGCCCTGCTGTGGAGTGACTGCAGCAGTGATAAAAGTCGGAAATGCTGCTGTGTTTCGGTTTCAGGCGAACTTCTGGTTTCTGTTTCCACTGTCATAAAGTATTTTGCATTCACGAAGTATTTCTTCTTTTCTGAAGGCTGCAGGCACGCTGCTTGCATGGAGAAAGAGTCATTCTCTATTAGTAAGGACCACAAGACCAACTGCTAGAAAAATCAAAGCTGGCTTCGCTTTGGGGTAGCTGTTACCATGGTGCGAGTGTTACCTATGTACATGTCCAGATGCAGCTGTAGAAAAGTGGGGAGCCTAAACCAGAAAATACTCTTTTTGCTTAACGGCTGCAAGTAGCAAAACAATCAGGCATGAAAACACTCAACCTGCTCAGTTTTGCTCTGTTGTTGGGTCAGACTGCAATGGGAAAACGTAAGCATGAATCAGAAGGTATTCTCTTCAGGCAGGATCATCTCTTCTTCCCTGCTGTATCAGCAGAGGACTC